CCAACACCGCCCTCTGCTCCAAAACCGCTCTTGGTGGTGCTGGGTGCCCGGTGCACGGGCTCCTGCTCCGCGGCGCCGTCCTCTCAGTGGTGCCCGTCGCTGGGCTCCAGCAGAGTTGGCCTTGGTCCTCTCCCTCGTCTCCGTGCTGGGGCACAGCAGTCCTGACCGGCTTGTCGTGCTTCGACTGTCTGGGTGTGGCCGAGGATGGTGTTGGCGCCCTCAGATGCTTGTTTTCTGCTTTGCCCTTTCGTGCGGATGCGCTCCAGCAGCGCCGTCATCTTGCCGTCGTAGTCGTGGCTCTCGGGGACTGCGCCAGGGGCCCAAGCGCCGCAGCCGACACAGACGCTCAAGGATGCCGTTGCTTCACCCTGGAGTGCGCCGCCCTGCTGGTTGACGAGGGATGTCAGGGAGGGGGGGAGAGGGGAGACAGGACAGGAGGGAGAGGGGAGGGGAGAAGGGAGGATGAGGATGAAGATGAGGATGAGGACAGGATGATGAGCAGGAGGATGAGGACGAGGAGGAGGACGAGGAGGAAGATGATGATGACGATGCTGACGATTATGATGATGATGATGATGATGATGATGGTGATGATGATGCTGATGATGATGATGATGATGATGATGATGATGATGATGATGGTAGTGATGATGATACTGGTGATGATGATGATGATGATGATGATGATGATGATGACGACAATGATTATGATGATGAGTAAGCTGATAGTGATGTGGATCGTGATGAAGAAGAAGAATACGAAGTTGAAGATGAAGGTGAAGATAGAGATGAAGGTGATGATGGAGGTGGTGATGATGATGATGACTGTGGTGAGGATGGTGATGATGGTGACGAAGCTGGTGCGGATGATGAGAGTGTTGATACTCACGGCGACGACGACGTCGCTGATGATGATGATGATGATGATGATGATGATGATCCTGATGATGGTACTGATATTGATGATGCTGATGATGCTGCTGATGCTGATGCTGATGTTGACGATGATGATGGTGATGATGATGATGATGATGATGATGATGATGATGGTAGTGATAATGAAGATGACGATGGTGGTGATGGCGGTGGAGATGATGATGACGCTGATGCTTAGGATGATGATGATGCTGCTGATGATGCTGCTGATGATGATGATGCTGCTGCTGATGATGAGGATGCTGCTGATGATAGATATAAGTGCTTCTGCGGAGTTGGGTGGGGAAGGGGGAGAAGGAGGGAGGACAGATGCGAGAAGTGGGGTGTAGGGGGGGAGGGATGAGGGGATGGAGGCGGAGGGGGTGGAGGAGGCATCCGTGGGCGAAGAGCGGGAGGATGAGGAAGGATGGCTATCAAGAGGGTGGGTGCGAGGAGAGTGTAACGACAATCATGTAAACGTGAAATGGATGAGAAGGAAGACGACCAGGACCCAGCGTGCACATGATGAGGAGGAAGGGCGGTGGATGCGGATCAGGAGGAGTACCAACTATCGGCTGGCGGAGGTCCGCAAGGGCGGACGTGTAAGCGTTCGCAGTGGTCTGCGCCGTGTTCAAGTACGAGACATCTTCGTCGTCGAGCATCGGGGGCATCTCGAACTCGACGGTCTGAAATCCATATGAGCGAACCACCTGGTCAGCAGAGAGGCCTGCTGTTGCGGTGCTGAGTTGGGGCTGAGGCGACCGAACACGCGCCACCCACCTTTTGCAGTTTCCTGTCGCAGGGGGCTGAAGCGAGCAAGGGGGACGAGCAAGGGGGAGCAATCCTGGCCAGAGTGTCAAGCGGAGATGTCCAACAAACTGAGCCCCCCCGCTCTAAGAAGGCGTGGGCCAAAATACAACAAAGCGCGGCCGGCTTTGCGCACCCGCGGCCGGGCAGCCGTTCGCGATGTCCCAGGCATCGCAACGTGCTTGACCCAACGGGTGGTGACAACAGGGGGCAGTTCCAGACAGACTGGCAAGAGCCTCGGGGCTTCCTCCTGCTGCTGCAAGGCTCGATGCAAGCACTGCTTTCCGTCGTCATGCGCCCTTGCTCCGTCTTCGCTCCGCCCTCGGCTGCAAGACGAATCCCAAAGCGAAAGCGGCCCGCGGAGTCCGGCCCAACACACCGTGCAGGTCGAGCGCTGTGCTGCTGCTCGCGCCCTTAGTGGGCCCTGGAAACGCCAGGGCCGTTTTTTTACCGGTTTCGTTTTGCCGTTTTTGAACAGGTTCCGACGCCGTTTTCTTCCCGGTTCCGTCGCAGTTTTTTGACCGGTTCCGGCTCCGGTTCCAATCCTGGAGCAGTTTTTTTGCCGTTCCCGGTCGCCGTTGTTTTGCCGTTTCCATTTTCAAGGGGCCTTTTTTCGGAAACGGTGAAAAAGCGGCCCTGCCGTTTCCGGGGCCCACTGAGCGCGACTCGCGCCTGCTCCTCCCCCACGGCCCGCCCGCCTCGTCCTGGCAGCACGCCCGTGCACCGGCGGCGCCTCGGCGCCCTCCCCTCGTGGCCCTGCGCCTGCGGCGCGGGGGGCCTCGGCTCACGCCGCGGCCCCGTCCCCTCCGCCCCCGCACGCGTGGCGCAGGACGACGAGGGAGCCAGCAGAGACATGTTCAAGATGCTGCCCCGGATGTCCCGACCCCTTCCCTGTGGGGCAATTGTTTGCGTCATGCATTGGTCATTGGGGGCGGTGCTGCGGCCCGATGGCCGTCCACAGGAGGCCGAGGTCGAGGAGAAGCGCCCGCGGTATAAGACGGATCCAGGATCGTTTGGGCCCCCCTGCGTGTGATGAGCAACGGCGTGTGATGAGCAACGGAGACGAGGTGATTCGATATATATATATATATATATGTATTTATTTATTTATTGATTCATTTATTTATTTATTAATGTATGTATATATACAAATATGTATATATATATGTATACAAATGTGCTCGAACCACGCGCGCCTCGCGCGCGCTTAGGTTCTAGCGCAACGCAAATCCACGTCTCGATGTTAGACCCTTCCCCTCCGTCCACGGGGCCGTCAGAGGGATCTGCAGGCATGCAGAAACTGTAATGTGATCACGGTAGAGGGGCAGCTCTTTTCAGTGCACACGTGTGGCACAGCATGTACACATACTGAGTGCCCTGCAAGCCTAAAGGCTACGGAAGAGGGAAAAGGGGATCCCTCTTAGCACGGGGCAACTAACACTGGACCTTTAGATCCGACACGCGAGCACCTAGGGCCATCTCTGACAAGGCAGGCTAGACTAGTCAGGGACAGCGGGTCTATACTCAACGGATCTAAAGACATGCGAGGGAGGAAGAGGGAAGGCGCCTGCATGCCGCCGACGGCGGCGTGGAACGTCGGGCTCTCCTTTCCTCCCTGGCTGGGGCCGGGCGCTCTCTCTCTCTCTCTCTCTGGGGACGAGTCCTCCTCCTCCTCCTTCTCTCCTCGCTCTGGCTTCCTCTCCTGTCTTTTCTCAGTCCTCCTCCTTCCTCTGGGTCCTCCTCCTCTTCTTTCCTCTGGGCTCTCCTCCACTTCTTCCCTTATCTCCTCGGACCTCGACGACTTGATCTCCTTCTTATCTCCTCGATCTGTCTCCTCTACGGCTTCCATCTCGAGCGCTTTCCTCGAGGCGGCTCTGGATCTCGATTTCATGGCCTGGTTGAGTGCTCTTTCCCCCATATGGCCTTCCTCGTCGACGAGGCACATCGATCCTTTGCAAAGAATATCGTGAAGGGCGAGGTTACCCTTGGCTGGGTCACTTTTTGTCATGGGGTCCGCCGGGATCCTGGAGTGAGGCAACCACCTGACGGAAGATCCAACAGCATTCATCGAGTCCCTGACAAGAGCCAACTCCACCGCGTTTCTTCGGTCTGCTTTCGACCCTGCACTGTTTTTGCTCAAAGTGTCAAACACCGACTTGGCGTCGACGACTGAAAGTGTCGAAGCCTCCTCGCACAGTCTGCAGCTCGACGCCAAAACTGAAGTAAACGGGCTCAGTGAATTGAACCAGTCGGGCCTCTCAACATCGTTGTGCACTGCGTCTCTCCAAAATACTTGCAACCATTGAGCCTCGGCGAGTGCCGAGGACAAAGCTAAAGTCTCCGCCGCAACGGTGGACGAGACTGCGCGACGAAGACGCTGAGAACGCCATGAAAGCAAACTGACCTTCACCCTCCTATTGTTCTTAATTCCTCCCTCTGCTGCCATCACCATCCATGCTCCTTGTGCTCCTCCTCTCCTTGCAGTACCTGGTCCTCCCGCATCCGAAACAGTGATCATCGTCATCGTGCCAATGTCTACTGGCCAAATAGATATCCGCTGAGCAGCCGTCGCCTTCAAATGCCGGCAAATCTTGATGCACAGAAGAGCGTCCTCGACGCTCGGAGAAGGAAGGGCGGCTGCTTGCAGAGAGGCTCCTCCGGCCACATCGGGCCTGCTTTCCCTGGCTACCCATTGTATTTGTGCTACCATGGATCTATATGATTTGATCTCGTCGGCTCTCAAGGGGCTGGCTGGCTCGGCTTTGCGGCTTGTGTCCAGGAACATCGGGGTGAGTTGCTCTCTTATATATTTTTCCTGGTCTACAGTTATCTTGTCGTCATATTGCTTTATGTGTCTTCCAGCATAGTCTGCTTCTTTGCTTTGCCATTTACCAAACTTGAATCGGCTCGTAAGCTTTGCTTTCAGCTCAGCTGCTTTGCTGTCCTCACTCGCCACTATCAAGTCGTCAACCTCTATCAAGACCAGGGATTCCAATCTGTTCACTGCGTTATGCTTGATCCACATGCACGGTTCCACCAGCGATTTTCTGTAACCGTTGTCCGCCAGCCAGCTGGTAAGCGTATGATGCCATCTTATCGGGGCGTCGTTCAGACCGTAGACGGGCGCTAGCAGCTCTATCAACTCTTCTTTCCTCAGAGGCAACCCTTCGCAGGGTTCGCAATAGATGGCTCCTCGCGGACGCTTGAGAGGATCTGATTGGCAAAAGGCATTCTTGCAATCCGCTGTGTTCATTTCCCATCCCAAAGATGATATCATTTGAAGTACACACATTATGCTCTCACTCTGCGGCGTTGGCGCATACACATGCAGCTCGTCAAAATCTGGATCCTGATGTCCTCTCACGCACCAGCGACTCTTCGGAGTCGGCTCGGCGCCGACGCCTTCTTGAGGCTTAAATCGTCGGACCATGCGGCTAGAAAGAATGCGTTCCGGATGCTTTCTCCTGATCTGAGCGGCCTCCTCCTTTCCAACCACCCTCACTGCTCCCGATGATATAATAGCTTGCCACTCTTTAGCATCCGAGAACAGAAAGAGACGGCGCTGCAACGGCGAAAGCTGCTTCAAACTTACTTCTGATCCTCGAGGGGGAACCGGACCTTTGACCGAACAGGCTGCTGATGCAAAACTGGCGCTTCCCTCTTCGAGCGCCGTCCCCCACTCAAGCAGAGTCTGGAACAGCTCCTCGTCTTCCTCGCCCTCGCTTTCCTCATCCTCTCTTCCCTCATCCTCCTCTGCCCCCCCCTTCTCCTCTTCTTTGCCCTCAAAGAGACCTGCGGAGTCCATCTCATGATCTCGAGAGCTTCCTGCGGGGAGACCTTCAATCCTGGACGCGGCTTCTGGTACAGGCCCTTCCGAAGTCTTCTGAATGACCGTTCTGGATGTTCCTCCTCCTCCTGTGTCTTCTCCTCCTCCTTCCCTTTCCATTACAGACCTCCTGACTCTCCCTGGACCTGGGTCTGCTTCTTCTGCTGGGGTCAGCCTGGGGATCTCGGGAGGTCTGAAACCTAACTGGGCAACTTCTCGGGCATCCATCCTCCTCCTCTGGTCCCTCCAACTTTCCTGAGGACCAGCGCGCTTCACTTCCTCCGGAGGCCTCCGGCCTGCTTCAACTGAGTGGATCGACTCCGCGCCTTCCTCGGAGTGAGATCGGGGACCTGACGGACTGGGCGGAATAGTCCTGGCGTCAGACAGTTGCCTGGAGGGCGGCTCGGTGCTGCGATCGCCTAGGGCCTGACCGGCCTCGAGCGGCGCTTCCTCTCGCTCCTCAGCGATCGGAGGCAACGGCGACTGAGCACGGGGCGCGAGTTGAACGACTCTTTCTTCTTCTCCTCTAGCTCCTCCTAGATCCTCGGCTCCTCTTCGACTTTCCTCCGGCTGCCCGGTGCCCCAGGCTTGCTCCGGAGGTGGACCTTCGGCTTCGACGTCTATCGCTCCTACTCTTTGATTGGGTCTCCTGAGCTCCTCACGAAGTTGATCCAGACGGGGATGGCTAAGAAGTTCGGCACCTAGTGATTCATGTCGAGTAGCTGGCCTAACTTGTTCTTGTGAACACTTCCACAGTCGGGATCTCATGGCGACCCAAATAGTCGATTTTTGCTGCCAGACCACCGCCCCGGGACCGACCCACCTGTCACGTTGTAGAAGATGAGAGCGACTAGCAGGGGTTACTTTCCTCCATACATACACCCATTGACCAGGATGAAAGTGCTTGTCTACGTGCTTTCTGGCGTGGGCAGCTTCGCTCATCCGACTTCGAACCTCAACAGTCAGCGCGGCCTTCCGAGCTGCCTCTCTGATCTTGTGCTTCCTCAAAAAAGCAGCCGCTGCACTGTCTTGCTCGCCGGCCTGCGGTGAAACATCGTCGAGCCCGACCTCGTCATGAGGCTCGTCGGTCAGCAATACTCTCGGCACTCTCGGGTTCTCGCCTAGCACTAGTTGATATGGAGAATATCCTCCTCGATGAAAATGACGATTCTTGGTCGATACGGTCTCGGCGATCATGTTTTCCAACTCATCCAAGTCCTTCGGGGGACCCCCTGAAGCGGCCTTGTGGAGCATCTGTTTCAACCACCCTCCGTGCCTTTCCACCTTTCCATTTTGATGCGGGGAGTTAGCGTCGCATATGTGTTGGTATATGCCCATATGCTCACACCCTCTCTCGAACATGCCGCTGAACTCAGGACCGCCATCCGAGAGCAGTATTTCGGGCGCCCCGAAGAATCGAATCCAGGTTCGGCTGAATCCCGCCCAGGCTTCCCTGGCGGTAGCCTGTCTCAGTACTGTGGCAATCTGGAACGACGTGCCGTGGTCCACTACGTTAAGCACGGGTATGCTGTTCCCAAGGAGGTTGAGGTATAGCAAGTCGATGCCTATGAGACGATTGAAGTGGAACGTACGGGGAAGATGTCCTTTGCGACGCCAACTCGGCCTAGCTTGAGACTCGCACCGTTCACACTTGAAATTGCCCTTCACCCAGCGCACTATGCCTGGGCGAACACGAGAAACACGCAGCGCTCGCAAGAAATCTCCCAGAAGAGGATGACCTAAGTTCACGTGCAACTTTAAAACTTCGGCCTCTATCTCCTTAGTTACCGCCTCCTCCTCAGCTTCCTCTTCCTCCTCCGCTTGTCCTCCTGCTTCAGCTGCTGCTCCTCCTCCTCCTTCTGGTGCTGGAATGTCCTCTGGACCTTCTAGCTCCCCCGGCCAGGCTTCAACAGTCGCGGGCTCGGGATCTGGCCAAAAGTCCGAGAGCTCTG